CCGGCCGCCACCCGTGCCGCCGCTGGTGACTGCTCGTCGAGCGCCCGGAGGCTTCACCCGCGCCCTCCCCCAGGACGCGCCCTCGGAACTCCGGCCCCTTCGTCCTGGACGCGGAGGCCGGAAGATGGCCTGGGTGCTCAAGATGGACGAGGTGATCGAGTCCGGGCTGGTGCACGACTTCGACGCCAGCCTCTCGGGCATCGGGCAGGAGCTGGGCGCCGGCGCCTACAGCATGAGGTACCTGGGCACCTGGGGAAGCCCGTCTCCGTGGGGAGGGCGGCACAGCACTGGGCCTTTGCTCGCCTCTGCTGCGCCCAGGTGGTGCCCGGGCCTCCCCGGCCGCGGGCTCCGGCCCTGCCGCGTGGCCGTTGGCAACCTCCGAGCCACTGCCCACTTTGGTGGCAGACACTGAAGGGCGTCCCCGAAGCGCTTCAGGGTGCTCTTATGCGATAGGCACACCCCACTGCGAGGATGGTTTGGGGAGGTGGGGGGGGGTTTCCTTCCTGAGCAAGGGATTACCCCCCTTGGTGATGGATTCTGCGCCCGTGAGAAGGGTTACAGCCTCGGAACCCCCAAAATCGAGTCGCTGTGCATCGGAATCGACTCGGTGGCAGTGGGGTCTGTTTTTTGGTTGACGCTGGAGTTGCAGTGTGTGAAGTAGCAGGATTTACGTTGGGTGGATACTTTGCACACGTTTGGGTATCAGGGCTTGCTTTGTGGCTTTACTCTTTCACTTAAAAAATACTAGCCGAAAGAAACTTCAGAGTAACAACGGGGGTGGGGGTGGGGGACACCGTGATTTTAAGTTAGGTGTTTTTCATTGTCTTGAAAGTGGAGTTTCTCGCTTGTGGGGCGGGGACAACCTTCTCAAGCAGTTTCTTGGCAAGGGCTTCAAGATGTAGCGATTGCACCACAAGCAATTGTTTAGTCTGTGTGGTGTCTGTTCTAGCAACCATTCATTTTCTTTAAGTTTGAGGAGTTGAAACCAGACGAGCTTGTTCCTGGCCTTTACTTTGAAAGACAGTTTTTACCTACTGTCAGTTTGGAAGGTACATTTATGTATCTTTTAGCAGCTCTGTGAAAATACAGGTTACATACCATAGAGTTGAACAGCTACAGTTCAGTTACTCACCAACTCATTTTTTCTTGTGACTTTCGTGAAGCTCTCTGAATATGTTCGTTGAAGTCATGTCTGACATCTTTTGAAGTGCTGTTAGTTTCCCCATCGAATTCAGGAACACATCTAACCAGACTTGGCTCTTAAAATACCCAAAGAAGATAAGAGTACAGGATCAGAGCCTGTTGGGAGATGCCCTCTAAGGTAATTTGGCTTTTACATCGTAATCAGAAACTCTGGGCTATCAGGAAGGTGTGGAGTCCTTTCCCAGAACATGGGAGAGAAAGGTAGAAAGCATCTTAAATGGGATCTTAGCCACCCCTGTCCGTCCCTGAGTTAGCCTCTGCTGGTCTCCCTGAACTTGGCACTCTTGTCCCTGCAGTTCAACTGGAAGGCTCTCCAGGAGGGGCAGTTTATTTTCTAGAACAACTGTCTCAATTGTTGAGGAAATTGAGTTTCTGAAAGCCATGGGGTCTCTCTAGACAAGAGTGCCAGGCTCAGGGCTTCCCTTGAGGGACACTCTTGGAGGGTGGTGCCATGCTGTGCCCTGGCGCTTCCTGCAACCCTGAGCGAAGGAGAGCACAGGTGAAGGAAGTTCAACGTGTGCATTTTTAGTTGCTTCTCAAATTATGTTAAGGTGAAATCTTGTTATGGAAAACTTTGTTTAGGGGGTTATTTTAAGCTTTCAGCTTTTTCCTAGGTTTTCTTTGAGCCTCACTTGGTTTTCGTGTTTAACGAACTGATTAACATAATTAGTTAATTGTGTTAGCTAATTAACACAATACAATGAACTTCTGTTTCTGGTTTATTTCCATGAAAAGGAGGGAAAAGTTGATATTGAACCTCTTTCCAATTTTTGTTCTTAATGTTATGGTCAACAATTTAAAAATTGTATGGTGTTCACAACACTTTCTATGAGAACCTTTTTTTTTTTTTTCCCTGAAAATACACAGAAAGCCTTCACCAATTCAACAAATTCTTCATGTATATGAGGGGGCTTCAGATGTTCGTGGAAGAATCCCATTGCCTTTCAGTTCCATTTTCCATGGCCTTTTTGAAGCCCTCATGTTGCTAGCTCAGTGACATTGATCGCCCTAAGGTTTCTCCCTAAGGTTGCACAGTGCTCCATGGGCTGTGTCCCACGTTGTGTTTATCCATTCCTCTCCATCCAACTCCTCTATGAACTATCTATGAACTCCTGTTCATAGATATTTCTGTCATTTCCATTGTTTAATCTGTAGTGAATAATTTCACATTTTTTTCACCCCATTAAAGGTTCTGTTTCCAGAAAGGACAGACATGTGTTTTTTCTCAGCCTCACAGAACTCTTCTACAGACTCAGTGTGATTTCAGAGTGACAGTCCCTGACTGGGATAGAATCCCACATAAGCAAAGTAAGCACAGGCTGACTTGTACTTAGCCTGGTTAAACCTTTCAGCCTGTGCTTACCTTGTTTACTGGGTACTCTGCCCCTATTGATGGGTATATACCTAGGATTGAGATTGCTGAGGTATAGGGTAGTTTTTTAGAAACCACCTGACCTGTTTTCCACAGTGGCTGTACAAATTTGCATTCCTTTAGCAGTAGATGAGGACTCCAGTTTCTCTACTTCATCACACTCGCTAATGATTCCCTTTGTTGTTGTTATCCTAGTTCTTAGGGAGATATGCAGTATTGTTTCCTTGCTGGTAAGCATTGGAGTGCTACCACACGGTTGGCATTTCAAACCCACCAACTGCTCCTAGGGAACAAGATAAGATTACCTGCTCCTGTAAAATTGTACAGGGTCACTCCGAGTCAGAATCGACTAGGTGGCAATAGGTTTGAGCTTTAAAAAAAAAAAAAAAAGGTGAAGGAAAGGTGGCTTGGTGATGCCACAGGTTAAGCACTGGGTTAGTTGTACAAGCTCACCAGCTGCTCTGAGGGAGAAAGATAGGCTGTTTGCTCCTATGAAGGTTTGCGGTAGTGGACACCCTATGGAGCAGTTCTCTCCTGTAGATCCCTGTGAGTTGGACCTCCACTGTAAGACATGCATCCTGATTCATTCTTCTGCATGTGGAGATTGGTTTCCCCAGAACCATGTATCAAAGAGATTCTTCCTTCTCCAGTGAGTGGGCTTTTCATCTTTGTCAAAAATCTTTTGATCATAGATGTATGGATTTATTTTTGGATTTTCAATTCTATTCCATCCATGTATAAGTCTTAAACTACTAGTAGGCTGTTTTAATTACTGTGGGTCTGTAGTATGTTTTGAAATTAAGTATGCTCCATTCCACTTAAGATTGCTTGTCCTTCGTTATATATTTGAGGATGGGCTTTTCCATTTCTGTAAAGAAGGTTTTCGGGGATTGCTTTGGGTAGTATTGCCATTTTAAGACTTTTAGTCCAGCAACACTAAATGTCCTTTCATTTACTTAGGTTTTTAAAATTTTCTTTTGATAATAAACACAGATAACTATGTAGAAGTCTTTAATTTTCCTGGTTAAATTTATTTTTAAGTATGTTATTCTTTTAGATGTTACCCATTAGGAACTGTTGTACTTTTTTTGGTTGTTATTTGATCTGAAATTTCCAGCACCTTTGAGAGCAAGTACAATTTTTAAGTTTACTTAGTAATGCTCTGTACTTGAGTCCTCAAAAACTCAGAGGACCCTATGTATGCCCTTGCCTGATGCAAAATCAATCTGCTTATTTGAAACTCAGATTTAGAAAGTCTGAAGCAGGCAGTAGACTGCCTGTACTTTCTGTGCCTGTTACGGAGCCCGGGGAGGGCTGGCGTCCACAGTGCCCAGAAGCACGGTTGTCTCGGTGCAAGCTGGCTCTTCTCTACAGGGGCAGTCTTTTCCCTCCGGCATCAAACGGGAAGCCAGGCTGTTGATCAGTGGCTCTCCTTTTCCTTTGTTCTGTCTTAAGTTAGGGGAATAAGTGAGGTGATAAACTTGAGATTATTGGAAAGTGATTCTTGATAAAAATTTACTTTGTTAGGAAGTTTTCATTTTTTAATGTGAATTGAAGTATGCTTGCTGTATTTGCCTTTTTAATGGCTTTTAAGCAAGAAGTATTAAGACTGCTTTTAGGGAGTAGTTCAACCCCTTTTTAGGATAATAGTTTGAAATAACGAAATGGGTTCTTTAAATAGTCTTAAAGTATTTATTTGTATTAGACGATGTAGGCTGATTGTGTTGGGGATATGTTAAGGTTAATTCCTTTTTCTTTTTAATAATTTTATAGGGGGCTTATACCACTCTTATCCCATCTATACATCCATCCATTGTGTCAAGCACATTTGTACATATGTTACCATCATCATTTTCAAAACATTTTCTTTCTACTTGAGCCTTTGGTATCAGCTCCTCATTTTCCCCTTCCCTCCCTCCCTCCCTCCCTCATTAACCCTTGATATATTTTTTTTCGTGTCTTATAATGACTGCTGTCTCCCA